CATGGGACTTGTGCATTCTGTCACCATTGCTGTCCAGGTGTATAGAAAACATTGTTCACCTGTGGTTATCCACCACCTCTGACTCTTACAATTTTTAAAAATTTGACTTTATCGAATTTTTGGGATTTTCATACAATAAAGTCTGATGGTATTGAGATTCCCTCCCCTGGGCTGGGCATGGTGCTGCACCTGTAGTTTTAGCACTTGGGAGGCAGAGGCAGGCAAATCTCTGTGAATTCGAGGTCAGACTAGTCTACATAGGGAGTTCCAGGCCAGCTTGGGCTATAGGGATACCCTGTCTCAAAAAGAACAACAAAAAAGATTCCCTTCCCTATCTGCACCTCCCCCCAGCGCTGAACACCCATATGTATATATAAAATATATAGCCTATAAAGTCTGACTTGTGTTCCCAAATGTCCTTCAGTATGGGTCCACGCTCTGGACCCACCAAGAGTCCCATCCCTATAAGACACTATCTTTTCCCCTCCCAAAAGTTCCAAAAGTTTCAAAAGTTCCTTAGGTTGGGTTGCAATTTCTTACCCACTTCCCCATGTCCATACTGGGATTTTGTTTGGTTTTAGCTTACATAGGACTTGTGCATGCTGTCACCACTGCTGTGACTTCATATGAGTAACTGGCCAGCTGTCTGGAACACTCTGTTTCCTTCTGGACATCCACCCCCGCTGGCTCTTACAATCTTTCTGCCCCATCTTCCAAAATTTCCTGAGCTTTGGGAGGCAGAGTTTTGAAATAGGTGTCCTGTTCAGGGATAAGCACTCTACAGCCTCTTATTCTCTGAGCATTAACCAGTTGTGGGTTTCTGTGTTAATCATCATCTGCTGTGTGTGGAAGTTTCTCTGGTGAGAGTTGAGATATGTATTAATCTATAGGTATGACAATAACTCATTGAGTCGGTTTAATACTATGTCTATTTAGCAGAATAATAGTAATAGGCCCTCCCCTATGACCTGCGACTTGTCTAGCCACAGGTTCTTAGGTCCGATATCAGTGTCGGGTATGGGCTCCACCTTGTGAAGGGTACCTACTTCCAGCAAGAAAGTGATTGGTTATTCACATAACTTTCATGCCACTATTGTGTCACTGAGTTGTATCTTGCAAGGTCAGTTGTTATTGTAGCTTGTAGGATTCACAGCTGAGCAAGGTTGATAATTACTTTTCTCTTCTGGTTGTATGCATGGAACCTTCCAACACTATGAAAGCTAGCCAGTAGAGATGAGGCTTTAACGTCACTACCAGCTTGATTTCTCCTTGCTTGTTCTACAACTCACTCATGTAGTGCCTTCAGCAACAGAGTCTTACCATCCAGTTCTGGAGGACAACCAAGAACAGTGGCAATGGCCAGTATTGTTTGAGGGTCTATGGGATCCCTGGTCAACAGCTTCCAAAGAGGGAGTCCATTCCTCACACTGGGTTATTTGCTAGCCTATGGTGTCTGGTAGGGGCAATGCCCCCCATTATAGGGTAACTCTATATATATACTTTAAGAAACTTCTATAGTGGTAGGTTTCCATATGACTTTTTCTTTTATTATTTTTATTTTATGTGTATAAGTGTATTGCCTGCAATTGTGTAAGTGCACTATGTTGCAATGCCTGTGGAGGTCAGAAGAAGGTGTTGGATTCCCCTGGAACTGGAGTTACAGATGCTTGTTAGCCACCATGTGGGTGCTAGGAATTGAACCCATGTCCTCTGCAAGAGTTTCCAGTGCTCTTAACCACTGAACTATCTCTCCAGCCCTCCATATGACTTTTACTAAAGGCCTTTCATGTTAGTTATCCCTCCCCATACTCCTTCCTCTGCACTGTCCTCCGATCCCCACCCCCATTTAATCCTTCCTACTCCATTATCTCCCTCCCCCCCCATATCATTGCATTCTCTCTCCCCTCCCCTGAGGCCTCCCCCATCCATGGCTTTTTAATGTTTCCTGATCTCTATGGATTTTCCAATTGAAACACACATATCTAAGGATTCAAAGTTAGCATCCACTTATGAGAGAGAACATGAAGTGTTTGTCTTTCTGGGTCTGGGTTATGTTACTTAGGATGATTGTTTCCAGTGCCATCCATTTACCTGCTTGGGACAATGAACTAAACAGTGAGTTCTCAAAAGATGAATCATAAACTGCTGAGACATATTTTTTACATCTTTAGCCATCAGAGAAATGGAAAATTAAAACCCCTTTGAGATTTCATCTTGCCCCAGTCAGAATGGCTAAGATCCAAGAGGCAAACAATGACAAATGCTGGTGAGGATGTGGGGAAAGAGGAATTCTTATTCACTGCTGGTGGGAGTGCAAACAGGTGCAGGTATTATAGAAATCAGTGTGGAGATTCCTCAGAATGCTAGAAATAGATCTACCATATGATCCAGCCACACCACTCTTCGGTATATCTTACTATAGAGATACCTATTCATCCATGGTCATTGCTGTTCTGTTTACAATAGCTTGGAACTAGAAACAACCTAGATATCCATCAGCTGATGAATGGATAATGAAAATACAGTACACAATGGAATATTACTCAATTGTTAAGAAAAAGGAAATTATGACATTTGCAGGTAAAAAGGTGTCTTTTCTTTAGGTATCTACTTCCTAGGGACATATACATGCATCACTGGCTATATCATACAGGCTTTAAAGTTATGTTGATTTGTTTGCCAATTCTGTCTCTGTTACTCACTAGCTGTGTAATTTTACACATAAGTCAATCATTTAATATCTCAGTTTCTTTCTTTGTTTTGTTCTTTTTGAGACAGGGTCTCCCTGTTTCCCCAGCTGTCCTGGAACTCTCCATGTAGACCAGGCTGGCCTCGAACTCACAGAGATCCACCTGCCTCTGCTTCCCAAGTGCTGGGATTAAAGTTGTGCGCCACCACTCCTGGCATATCTCAAGTTTCTTAATTTGTAAAATGAACATAACATAGCCAATCTCAGGAGAATGGTATAGGGAATAAGTGAAATAATATATGTATTAATAACTTGGTACAGAGTAGAAACTATTGATTTCCTCTTTTCCTTTCATAGTCTGCCTAGCAAATGTTGAAAAATAGCAGTAAAATAGTTTCCTGTTGTTAGGGGGTAAACTAAAAATGTGACCATTGGTAAAGATAGTTAAAGGCCAAAGAATTTTCAGGAAGAAATAATCTTGAGGATTGATGTAAAAAATCTAACATATCAATATCAATAAAACACCTCCTTGATTAGAGAAAAACATACCAAAATTTAGTTATAATATTTATTAAAAACATTTCTTGTCCTAATCATTAGTCTGAAAGAAAACCGATTTCTGAGTTTTTTAATTTAAAAACTATTACTTTTAAAAGTAGTTTTAAATTTTTTATTTATTATTAGTGTGAGGGGGTATGCATGCCATGGCACATGTGTGGAGGTCAGAGGACACCTTTGTGGAGTTTGTTCACTCGTTCCACCTTTGCTAGGGTTCTGAGGACGGAACTCAGGTCTTCAGGCTTGCATCATCTGGCATCAAGAACTTCAACATACTGAGTCTCCTCACCAGGCTGAAATAAAAGGTTTGTTTCCTTATCTTCTTGTAAAAGTACCCGGAACTTGGGAGGCTGAAGCAGGAGGATTGTGAATGCAAGACAGGCCTTGGGCTACATAGTAAGTTCCAGGCACCCTGGGTTATTAAACAAGACCCTGCCTCAAAACACAATCAATGAAACAGACAAATAAAACAACTAAGAGCTAACAAAACAAAATGAAATCCAATACTAGTGACATAATGTACTATCATGTGGGCACGACATTCTACTTTTCAAAGGGCAGGAGTTCACGGCAATGATAAAATGGCAAATAAAACTGGAAAGCATAGATATGTAGATCATGTTGGCTCCTCTTTCCCTGTGATGAGCATGTTTGTGGCTACAGGAATTTGTTTCCCATAAATCTCATGTAGATTTACAACCTCAAGGGGCCTCAGTTAAACATGGATTTTGTTATTATAGTTATTATGGTATTGTGTTAAGAACTAGAAAGAGGACCTTTGCTTAATCAAACAACTACACTTGCCCAGAGATTGATTTTCAAAATCTTCCTGGATAATTCTATACATTATATAAATAACCTGACATCTACTTTACCCTAGGACTTAGCTGCTATAGTGATGTGGGATAATTAACAAATATGTTCTGGCTAAAGACATACTCTTAGAATTTAACTCAGAAAAAAAAAAAAACCCTGACATTCAAATTATGTTGCTGTACTTATAAAAAATATGGCAGGGTTGGGGAAATGGCTGTCAGTTTAGTGCCTGTTCTGCAAGCATGAGATGCTGGATTTGAATCACCAGCTGCCATGTGAAAAAACCAAGAGTGGTGGCACACAGTGTAACCCTAGCACTGTGGAGGCAGAGACAGAAGGGTCTCTGGAGCTCATTGACCAGTTAGTCTTGCGTAATTAATTGGTGAGCACCTTATCTCAAAAACTAAGTTGGGGAGCAATAGAGGAAGACTACCAACATTGACCTCTGGCCTCCATATGCATGTGCACTCAAGTACACATACACGCCCTCCCCACACAGACATACATGAGCACATATACATGTGTACAACACAAAAAAAATTTTAAAAGAAAATACAAAGCTATAGATAGGTACATGGATAGACAGATTGACCTTAAAAGGGCAGTTACTGAAAATTAGTTTTCTCCATTAATTAAAATCCCCCTCCCCCAAACTGCAATTACAGACAGTTGTTAGCCACCGTGTGGATGCTAGGAATAGAACCCCGATCCTCTGCAAGAGCAGCTAGTGCTCTAACCAACAGGCCATCTCTCCGGAACCCCCTCCATTAAATTTTGTAACTATAATTCATCAAATACTTAAATCTCTTCAGGTGATACTTGGAAAGATTGTACTAACATTAAACTAAGCACATGTATGTCCTTATCAGAAAACAGACACAGCCAAACAACAGAGAAACTTTGACATATGATTAAAAGATAAAATAGCCACCTTAGATATTTTTCACAATGTTTATTAACTGTCATTTTCTCTACCATCCACTCATAATATTTTCCCAAAAATAAGAACAAAAGAAAACATTTAGGTGACATACAAAAAGACAACTAATATATTTAATTTCCTATAAGTATTTAAGCAAAAGACCTCCTAGCTGAAGACATTACAAAAAAGTTAATATTATTTCATATTTCATATTTCACATTTCTGTATCTGTATGCCCAGATACAGAAAAGGTTTATCTGAATGAAAGAACAGGAATGACCCTCCCTACAGTGGTTTACTTGGCATATGGGAAAAAAATACAAATAGGTTAGTCAAAATAATATATGAACTTACAAGCTTCCTACAAATAAAGTGCTGATGTCCTTAAGAGCGCCTGAGATCCAGGGATTGCTTTTGGCCATTGTTAACCAATGATAGGTATTCCTATAATTTACTGTTCTTTTCTTCCCCACCCCCTGCAGCTATTTTACTGTTAGCCTGGGTGGTCCCCTGGGGCATTTTAAAGCATCTTCCTCAACACCATCAAAATAGGCTCGCAGGAAAAGTGGCTCTGGGTCAGGCATTTCAGTATTTTGCTTCCCAGGATTATAAAGACCTACATAAGAAGTTATTTCATTCTCATACAAGAAACATACGAATTCTTTCTAGTGAATACCAGAACAAAGTGGAACATCTACTATGTCTAAATCTCAGCCTCAATCCGACTTCCAAAATAAAAACACAGGGAAGAAACACCTTTGCACCAATCACTACTATGAACCCAATTTTATGAAATGTCAGGGTGCAGTGCTCCTCTAGTACCATGGAAGCAAGGTGTCACCTTCTCTCAAACCTCTGGAGAGCAGGGTCTCTTATCTTTCCTGCTTAAGAACAAGAGATCAAGTAGCATCATCGTATTAAAATGAACTGGTTAGTGTCTGGAGAATTTCTGATATAAAGTTCTACAGTTCTTGCTAGTAACCTGTGTGTATGTATGAAGAGAGAAGGGGGATACTTCTCTCTTTAGGAAGTAGTAGCAATAAAGGTCATATGTGTGTGTGTTGTGGGAATGGGAGTGAATGGAACCCTAACACATACCAAAATGACATATAGTTGGAACCCCAGTTGGTTCACTATCATCAATAAAACAGAGAATCTATTTAACCATTTATAGCATGGAAAACAGTAATCCTAGGTCCCATCTCCAAAACAAAGAGACACGGAATCAAATGTTCTTTTTTCCTTCAATCATATAGAGCTAACTTCTAAATGAAGAAAATACCTCATCTCTACTTAGAAAGTACACAGAGAAACACTGAAAACCCTCAAATAATTACAGGCTCACATAGAAGTTGCAAAATATGCAAGAATTAGACACTGTTGTTCAGTCTACTCATCCTTTACCTGAGATGCAAATTATTCCTGCTCCTCTGGGTAGTCTAAGGGGATTTGGATCTCAAATTCCACTGATAGTCAAAGGGCTAAAAGAAAGAGAATGAGGGAGAAGCCATAGGGGGAAGTAAGCACAGGAGACGGGAAATTGAAAAGTCTGGGAAATGATTAGTACTAGGGAGATCAATTGCGAAGAAAGGAGTCCCAACTAGACTGTAAACCCTGGGGGTGCGGTCCCATACCTCATGCTCAGGGGCTTAGCACAAGCTAGACACATAGTCAATACTGATCTAAGCAGCCAAAATGAAGGGAGAAAACACATCCTTAGAGACTTCTTGCTTCCAACTGTAATACCAAGTACGTAATTCTGCCTCCATTTTCTTTAAAAGCCTGCAATGGCATAAAGCAGTCTTGGTAAAGAAACTGCCTCTGCCTTTTCTGTACAGGTCACCATCATGCCACGATTATCACTGGGAGTTTCAAAGCAGAGGAAAACGCTATTGAAGTGGATGATGATACCAGACTGTTAAGAGTTTCCATAGCCACAAACATTACTGAATAGGATCTCAAACAAGAGGTACCAGATTGTATCAGTTTGTTGGCTAGATGTTCTCTGTGAGTCAAGTTCAGCATTAGCATTCACGCCCAAAATGAGTTTCCTTACAAATAAAATTTCTTGATGTTACTTCCCACAAAAAATACAGAGCAAGCACAGATTTCTTAGGAAGCTGTCACAACTCTTGATAAGATTAACCTATTGTCATGTCCCTTTCTGCTTTGTCCTCTAGTTTGGAGACATGGTAAAGGATGTCTGCTTTTTAGATTCAATGAGAACGACTTCACTTTCTTCTTGAAAGGGCCTATTAGTTTCAGTTTTCCGTGCAAGACTCACATAAAGACCTGTAGCTCTCATGAGCTGCCTGCTTTGCAAGGGTCCAGTAGTTTCAGTTTGTATTTAACAAGTCCTCAGATAACAAATGGAGAATGCAAGGGATCTTCAAAAGGTTGCATTGAAGGTTAAAAAGGAAAAGTATCTCTATCACTGAGAAGCTTTCTTCAGGTTTTCTATCAGCACTACAGAATCCGTTTCTTCTTTGGATTGCTTCTCGGAGATGTCATATTTCTTCCAGTGCTGCAAAGGAAGGGGAAAAAAAACATATACGGTGACTTTTTCTAAACAATGTTCTTTGCCCGAGTCCCCAAGCCAATGCTTATTTTTAAGTTTCCGTGCACAGAACCACGAGTGTAATGTTTTCCTGGTTCTGGTTTTTTGATCTAAGAATATTCATCTAGTTGAACAATTAATGAAGCAAAACAACCAGGAATTAACATTAAAGATGAGAAAAGCATAGGATTGTTACATGATGTTTTAATGGGTGTCTTGGGAGATAAAACAAATTTAGATATTTCCAAAAATGGAAGCAGTCTTTTGGAAATGAATAAAAGGGTAAAATATGAGCTCAGTTCTCTTGTCTGTAAAATAAAGCTGTTAGACAAATCTGGAGGTAGGCAGACTATGGTCCACAGACCAATCTGGCTAGCTGACTGTTTTGGGAAGCAAAGTTTAATTGAAATATATCCATTTGTTCTGTGTTGCCTATGGCCACTTTCATGCCACAAGACTTGAGCTGTTACAGAGAGTAAATAATTTATAAAACAAAAACAGTCCTTTGCAGAAAAAAAAATTGCCAATTCCTGCACAGGATTACGTCTGAGTTCCTGTTTTCCTGTGGTTCCCTCAGCTTATGGGAAGAAATTGAAATAAGAGAAATAGAAACAAGAGCAACTATACCTACTCAGATATCTCTGGTTATGTAACTGAATGAATTAGAATCATCCAGTGTTAGTATATGGAGCTTTAAGTTGGGAAATACTGTTTAAAATATCCATTTTTTTCCAAATAAAATATTTAACCCTAATACATTGAATAGAGTTACTAAAGTTAAAAATATTGACAAGTCCACGTGCTGATGAGGATGCACACTAACTGGATTTTTCACATATTGTTGAAGGAAATGTAAAATAGTACAGTCACTATGGAAAACAAGTCTTGCAGTTTCTTATAAAATTAAACACATACCACATGATCCAAAAGTCCTGCTCCTTGAAATGAAGACACGTCCATACAAGACTTCTAAATGAATGTTTATTTACTCAAAATAGAAAAAAAAAACCTGGATATAACCCTGATATCATGAAGAAGCAAATGTCTGAATATACTATGGAATAATGCTTAACAAGAAAGAGAAACTACTGATAAAAGCAATATTATGAATATTTTCTTAATGCATTATTACTAAGTGAATGAAGCCAGACTCCAAAAGCTATGTGCCTTATGATTCCATTTATATGACATTCTAGAAAAGGCAGAAAACAGATCAGAGGTTGCAAGGGTCTAGGGTGAGGGAAGGAACTAACTGAAAAAAGCACAAGGGAATTTCTAGGAGATGATGGATCTCTTGTATATTTTGATTGGAGTGGTGAGTACAAAATTTCATCTGTTTGCTACAAGTCTTCTGATTAAACACTTCAAAAGAATAAACTTTTTGGGCTGGAGAGATGGTTCAGCGGTTAAGAGCACTGACTGCTCTTGCAGAGGACCCAGATTCGATTCCCAGCATTCACATGGCGGCTACGAACCATCCTTAACTCCAGTTTCAGGGGAATCCAAAGCCTTATTCTGACCTCCGCGGCATTTAAACGTTATTTTATGTAACTGTATTTAAAAATCTATTTAAAAATGTAAAATGAAGAGATGTTCAATAAAAGCAATCTGAAAAATTATATAGCCTTGAACTAATGACTTACTTGTAAATGGCACTAATACAACGGGCTAAGCATTTGAAAAAAAAAAGTTAAACCCTTCCTCACACACTATACAACTTAACCTCAGATAAAGACTTGAATGCCAAAATAGAGTGAATACAAGAAAAATACATAGGGGAACAGCTACAGAAGTCTCACGAGGGATGAGCTTTCTGCACAAAAAAAAAAATAAAGAATGATTTCACTGAAGAAGAAAGGAAAAATCTATACATAACTAATCACTGTAAATACAATAAAAAGGCAAAAATGAATGACAAGCCAAAGGATTAATATCTACTATATAAGGTTAAGAATATAGGTGAGTTGATAGAGGGCTTGCTTTGCATGAATCAAACCCTGGGTTACATCCCCAAAACTGCAAAAACCATAGATATACAAAGAACTTAAAAACCACCAAGGAAAGATAAATACCACAGGGAAAAAAAAGACAAGGAGCAAGATTTTCATGAAGCAATGAGCTCAAGCTAATACTCTGATAAAACATATAAACCTGCTATGTTAAATTACCATAAAAGGCATTTTCCTCATCTATCAAGACTTCCATTGATTTTTTAAAATTAGCTAATATCATATTGGCAAAAGTGCGTTCAAACAAGCATTTGGATACCACCACTAGTAAGTATATTAATTCATATTTCCTAATTTTAATATATGCTTCTTGTGAAAATATGCTTCTTATATGTGTATTCTAGTGTTCTACATAGGTAACCTGGATATTTCATTTAACAATATGTGTTATGTATTTTTATACATCAGTAAAACAGAACTATCTCATTTTCTTTAACCTCTGAAAAATATTTCATTGCATGAATGCAGCATAACTTATTTAACCCATAAAACCGGTCTGGATAACAATCTGTCAATTCCAACCTACAAGCTCAACAAGGAGCCTCAGAGTAGTTCAGTGGTAGAGCATTCACCTAGTATGTGCAAGGTTCCATCTCCAGCACTGGAAACAAAAAAGAATAAAGAGCTCCCCAAACCTATTTTTAGATCAAAGGCTATACAAAAACAAGTGACAGGTAACAGGATTTGGCCCATGGTTTGTAGTTTGCAGAGAAATTATGGGAGGGTGATGGTTGTGGTGGCATGTATTTTACTCTCTCCAGATGCAACCATTAAAACAAGTAGGACTAGGAATTACAAACTTTAAACACTTTTTCAACCTTAAAAGCAAACTTAAAGGGTGTTGCTAATTTTTACATTTTTCGTTATTAATCCTTTTTGGTTTTTCCTTTGACTTACTAGGCAAAGAAGATTCGTATGGATGACTTACTGCTCTCGAGTGAAAAAAAAAGGTTGATTAGTGGGGGGAAAACTCATTTAAGTTGATTCAGTTTGAGTTGGACATATGGTTACTAAAGAATTTTGTCTTTTTCAAATGTTTTATTTCAAAATGATCTATTTCATTACAACTATTAGGACCACCAGTATTTTGGTCTGGCCTGGATAGAGACTGGGAGTACTTGGCAGAGCACTGGCAGTCGGCAGTCTTACTGAGTCTCACTGGACAGAAGCCCTTGTGTAGGTTGTGGTTAAATCTCACACTGTGCTAAAGGGTGTTTTTGTTTATTGTTTTTAATGCTCCAGTGGAGTTGCATTACCTAGGTCTGTTATTGTACAGTGTTTCAAAGAAATGTTTCATATAATTTTTTAAAAGTAGGAAAGGTAAGCAGGGCAGTAAGGAAATAAAACAAAATTATTGACAGAATTTATAGCCAAACAAGGGTTGGTGGGGACAGACAAGAGATGATTATGAGACCAAATGATATCCAGCTGTGGATGAGCACACAGGAAAAATCAACATGGCATCCACACAATTGCTCAATAGGAAAGACTGGGAATGCAGCTCAATGCTTGCCTAGCATGTACAAGGTCTTTGATCCAGTACCCAGCACCAAAGCACAAAAAAGTAAATAAAATTAGATAAAAGGTGAAAAGAAAAAGAATTAATTTGGGGGCTGAGGCTATAGCTCAGTGCTCAGGAGACTACTTGCATAGCATGCTGAGGCCCTGGGTTTGATCCTTAGCACTGAAAAATTGGGGGTTAGAGGGTAAATAGGCAAAACACATGGAAAAGCTTTTTTAAACAAAAATTAAAAATTATTTTAAGCCAGAAGTGGTGGCGTGCATTTACAGTGCCAGCTACTTGGGAGGCTAAGCTGAGAAGATTGCTTGAATCTAGGGGTTTCAGGCTAACCTGGGCAATATGGTGAGATCTCTGTCTTAAAAACATATTTTGGGCTGGTGAGATGGCTTAGTGGGTAAAGACACTTGCTACCAAGTGCCTGATGAACTGAGTTCAATTCCCAGGACTTGCATGGCAGAAGGAAAGAACTGACTGCTACAAGTTGTCCTCTGACCTCCATGCATATGTTGTGGCATGCATATGCCCTCTCCCTAATAAACAAATGTAATAAAATACTTTATAATTTATCAAACATTCCACACTTCTTTTAGTTTCCATTGTTTCTCAGTTGTTCAAATGAAATTCAATATAATGTCATTAAATACATGATATAAGATGATTAGTTAAAAGTATGGACTGCAGAATTGGAATGCCTAGGGATCCAATACCAGCTCTGCTGTGGCCTAGTAATGGAACCTTGAACAAGTTATACAAAATGACTCTGGTGCTTCACTTTCTCCAGCTCTACCATGAAGATAATATGTGCCTACCTCAGGGTGGGGACAGATGAATGAAGAAAGTGCCTAGAAAAGTATGCTCAATATGATAAACTATTATTGTTATCATTTTATTTATCAAGAAGTACCTTTCTGGTCAGAAGTGGTGGTGCACACCTTTAATCCCAGTATTCAAGAGGCAGAGGCAGGTGGAGCTCTGTCAGTTTGAGGCCAACTTGGTCTACATAGCAAGTTCCAGGCCAGCCAGGAATACACAGTGAGATCTTTACTCAAAAAACAAAACAGAGGAGAACTATATTAAGTATATTTCTGTTTCCTTATGGGGGGCTCACATAATATTAAACCCAGTTAAATATTAAGTGATAGGATTAAATGTGATTATTTTCTTTCTGTTTTGTCTATCTGTGGTTCTGATCTTCTATAACAGAAATATATTTCTTTTGAAAGAATGTTTTAAATATTTTATTTAAAACAATGAACCCTGAAAATAACTTTTGTTCATATCTAGATATTAGACACAATGGTTAGCTGTGTTGGGTAAGAAAAAAGCAATCTGGAAGCCAATAGTGGTGGCTCACACCCATAATCCCAATACTCAGAGAGTTGAGGCAGGTGGATTGCTGAGTGTCCCAGGTCAGCCTAGACTTCATAGGAAGTTCC